AGGAAAGGAGACTTAGAGACTGCACAAGGGAATTACTTGCACGTAATGCAAGGGATTACTTGCATACAATGCATGAGGAATACTTCCACATAAAGCTGAGGAAAATATCTAGCTTCTCTCCATTAAATGCCATTCACATAGAGGGTTAAGCTATCAAGAAATATCAAGGAAAATCTCTACACAATTAGAGGGAGAAGCTCTTTCCACCATTGAAGGCCTTTAGCCTTCCCCATTCATCCAAAATTTCTAAACTCTATTTGAGTTTATTTTAAGTTGTTTTTGTAATGAATATGAGGAACTAAACCTCATAACTAGGGCTTAGGTAGAAGCCCTAAATATGATTACTCTGTTGTTTTGATGTTTTAAGTTTATGGATTTCTAGATGTTGTTCATGAATTCTCTTTCACTAAATTAATCATATATTATGTGTTTGCTTCCTTTGATTGATCACCTTAGGTTGTATGCATCTAGCTATAGTTGAGAAGTTGTGTTGATCACCTTAGGTTGTATGCATCTAGCTATAGTTGAGAAGTTGTGTAAGATACCCAAGAACACAACTTCTACTTAGCAACAAACGATTTAATCCTTTCTAAATGAGCTTCATGTGAATTGGTTTCTTGAATGCCTAATGTAAACACCATACTATTAGGGTTCTTGTGATGTTCATATTCTCTTCAATCTTAATGGGTTTCTTCATATGGTTAAATTGAAGTACTAAGCACACCTAGATTTATTATATGGGAAGCACGAGTATTGTAGTACTATACACGCACCTTACTTATTTTAGAGAGAATCATGCGTCTTGAGCCACTAAACCCTGTCTTGATTGCAAACATTTTCATCAATATATCTAGAATTCATAACTTGAGTATCCATGGACATGAGTATGATTATTTAGGGTGGATCTAAATGCTCTAGTGTTTGTCACCATTGAATTACATTTTGATAATCACATTTGTTAATCTTGTTAAAATTAGAGTTCGATTACATTCTAAGCATTAGAATTAGGTAACTTGAATCACAAACCCCTCCCCCTTTGTGTTTATTGTTTGAAACATTGAGTGTTCTTTTTACTGAATCCTGCTCACTTCTATAGCTTATTTCGACATTTGGTCTATGTTGGGTTCTTCATTTGTTCGTGCTTAATCTAACCATATAAAGAACATAAAATACGGCCTAACGATTTGAAAGGTACATGTCAAAAACGGAACAGGGGTCGAAGTTGGAAATCTGAGGAAATTAGCCTTTGTGTAAAACAACTGGTCGCTTTGATAAAAACGATCGGTCGCTTTTTTTCTCTCCCGAGACATTTCGTCTCTATACAAAACGACTAGTCGCTTTTCCCTTGTTTTGCCTTTCATTTCCTTTCACTTTTCTTGTTTCATCTCTTGTGATTGTGTTTAAATTAAGTATTCTTAACATACTCAAACTAGATTTGCTTATAAACTATCAAGTCCTCGTGGGAACGACCTCATAGTTACAAATCTATACTCCAATACATTCGTACATTTGGGAGTATTTTTAATTGGATAGTTAGCGTATTAATTTTACGCCAATTACGATGCAACACTATACATGTGTGAAGTGAAGCCCCAAAATTCTTATATTTCCCAATTTGGGCAAACACACGTACGCCTTGCCTTGTGGCAATCTTCCAACAGCTTATTCTCAATTTGCAAGAGTACCATCTGTCTAGGCATGTGCGCGATTACTATCTGAACTTTTAATTTTTACTATTACTCATCTGTACTTGATAAAGAGTTACAATTTACCACCCAAGATATATTTCGTCCACTTTTTCGTCAAAATATATCACATGCCCTCATTTGAATGAATAGTTTAGTCCATCTACAATTAGACTTCAATGATGATTGCATTACAGAATTATTTAGGGTTTAGTATGGAGAGAAATTGATTTGCAAGGGAATTGGGTTATTGTTAGGCTCCAATTTTGGCATTATAATGGCTGATTAGGTATGGGTAAGGAGGGAAATCGATTTATGTGAGCCATAATTAAGGTCTAAAATATCGATGGTTTCAGAAATATCGGCGGTCCAAAAATACAGAAATTTCAATGGAAATATCGGGAAATTATCGATATCGATAATAGTTGAATAAAAACCACCGAATTGGTAAGAAAAACTTGGAAATTTTTCTTGAAACTTTGTCAGATGTTTATTTAGTTAGAAAAAAAAGAAAAAGGAAACAAACTTACTGTAGCTGGTGTGGCATACTCACAAGCATTGGATCAGCTGAATGGTCCATATTTTATGAAATGCGGGTAAATGCATCATGGCTAAATGCAAAGGCTTGGGATCCTGTATCCATGTTCCAAAATATCCTCGACCTGAAAAAACGATAATATCCTCGATATTATCGATATTTCAGTCCTTGGCCATAATATATAAATTGACTAAAATATACATCCCCAAAAATTCAGGGGGTTAATATCAAANNNATCGATATCGATAAAAATTGAATAAAAACCATGGAAATTGTAAGAAAAACTTGAAAAATTTTATTGAAACTTTGGAGGATGTTTATTTAGTCAATTATCTATTAGTTTATCACAAAAAATTGGAAGGAAATTCATTGCATGATGGGTTTAACTGATTTAAGTTGATTATATAAAGAGTTAACAAACATTGTGAGTGTAGAAAATATGTAGTAATTAATGAAAGAAGATTAAACACACCATAATCATTTATATATAATGATTTACTACAATATTTTACACTTTATACATTGCATGGTAAGATACATAAGCGACTATGAGGTTCAAAAAAATTTAGTATCTTCATCATCTCTATGCGTAGAGTAAGTGTGTTGTGAGTAGTCATCAAATGATAAATCCCCAAAATAGTTTTCTATTTAATTGTTAACATGCCACCCATATGGATCTAAGATTGGTTGACGTTTGTTAATAGCTCATACCATCACTGTGAGCCGAGCCCACCAGAGGAGACCACGTGGCTAATGGACCAGATCACTTATATACCAACCCGACCACATACGATACCCTCAGCAGTAGGCTCCTCAAGCATACTAGGACAGAGCTAGGCCAATGATCGGGTGTTTTGGTCGCCGACCTGACCACTGCGCACCATGTCCCAAACCAAAGGAGCATTAATGAAACAGCCTAGCAAGAAGGAAAGGTCGGTGGATGCATGTCCCGTCCTTGGCCAGGTGTTGCCTTACCCTTCATTCCCTAGGTGAACAAGCTGGTGATGGAGCGGGATCATTTAATACATCTCCCATCCTAGCTTGCCTGTCACTTCGCGACCTGACCCCTGTCAAGAAGTAAGGTGATTGGAAGTGGAACATTAAATGTGACTCAGGCCAAGGGGATAGGAGAGAAGATATCTCCCATAAATATCTTGGTCTCTCCTTCTCCCCCCTATAAATACCCCTCACCTATCTCTACACAAAGGTAATAAGTTCTTAACCTAATAAATACTCTCATTGTGAAAACCCTACATCCATTCTCTCTAGCTAAGATAGTTTCTGACTTAACCATCGGAGTGGGCTCAATTGGGATTAGCCCCAGTTCGCTCTTGTTCTGATATTGTTCTAAGTGTGCATATTCTCCTTTGGAGATTGGCTATTCGCGAGATCGGATACAAGACCAGGCCTCTGCCTAAAGTCAAGGTCATTTGCACGAGAGGGATATGCGGTTTACAACGTTGTCTATAAGCAAAATCATTTGAAGATTAGGTCTCCGATTCTTTCCATGAGCCGCTTGATTCCATCCCAAAAGGAAATGTCAAAGACTCACATTCTCATGTGAAAATATCATTCTTGCAAAAACAATTCAAAACAAAACAATATAAATTTAAATATTTTATTATCACAAAAACATAAGCAACATGGTGGTTAAGGTGTTGGAGGAGTGAAATGGCAAGGGTTTGAATCCATTTTGTGTTTTTCCTTCTTCTTTTTTTCCATTACATTGATATTTTTGATATTTTCGATATTATAGCGATATTTTGACAAAATATTGCTGGAGTGTGAGAGAAATTATCGACATCGATATTTTCCGATATTATCGATATTTATACGATATGTGTATGGATACGTTCCGAAATATCTGTGACCTAAAAAAACGATAATATCGGTATTTTAGACTATGCCTGGTATTCAAGAAATTATAAAGTAAGAATGTACTACCACCTCAGCAAGTAATACTTTCATTAAAAATATGTCATGGGTCTCCGATTCTTTCCATGAGCCGCTTGATTCCATCCCAAAAGGAAATGTTAAAGACTCACATTCTCATGTGAAAATCTCATTCTTGCAAAAACAGTTCAAAACAAAACAATATAAATTTACATATTTTATTATCACAAAAACATAAGCAACATGGTGGTTAAGGTGTTGGATGAGTGAAATGGCAAGGGTTTGAATCCATTTTGTGTTTTTTTTTCTTATTTTTTTCCATTACATTGATATTTTTGATATTTTCGATATTATAGCGATATTTTGACAAAATATTGCTGGAGTGTGAGAGAAATTATCGATATTTATACGATATGTGTATAGATACGTTCCGAAATATCTGTGACTTGAAAAAACGATAATATCCTCTATATTTCGTCAATGTTATCGAAATTTTAGACTATGCCCGGTATTCAAGAAATTATAAAGTAAGAATGTACTAGCACCTCAGCAAGTAATACTTTCATTGAAAATATGTCATGTGTCATTTGAGAATAATAATTTAAACTTTTTTTATAGCTGGACTTGGAATCTATCTTATGAATAAAACTAAGAAAATCAAAAAAGAAAAGAGCCAACACCCACCCCGACCCGTCGTCAACCCTCATAGTACTTTAACAGTGTGGTCGAACCCCCATGACACCTTAACAGTGTGGGATAAAACCCCCTCCCCAAATATATAGCTTGCATAAAAGTTTTAAATTTAAAAAGAAATTTAAAAAACTAAAACAAAACTATTGGCGGAAAATTGCCACAAGGCAAGAGACGTACGTGGAATGTGTCGCCAAGTCAGCACTTGTGTGACCTTCTTCTCCCAAAACACAGAACAGACTGAACTCAGCTCAGTCCTTGTATTTGTCGTAAGTCATAACGCCTTCCATCAATTTGAACACAGCCATTGAATTGAAGAGGAGAGAATGAATCTGCAGGTGCTTAGCAGATACTGCACTGTCTCTCTTCCTCACACCTCGTCTTTCAATCTCAGCACAAAAATACCACCATCTTCAAATCTCACATTTGGATCGTCCCTCCATCAACGCCCACTTTCACTGCCCTACAAGTTAAACCATACCCCTTCCGCCTCTCCTGCGAAAATGGGTGTCCTTCAACTCGTCGCTGCTTACTCAAGAGGCAGAGAACCAGCGCCTGAGTCTCCGGCCAAAGCGCTCCGCCGAATTCTTGACTTGCCAGGGGTTCATCAAGCCCCTGCTTGTTTTGATGCTCTAAGTGCCAAGTTGGTTGAAAGAGCTGGCTTCCAGTGCTGCTTCACCAGTGGTATGTGAATTTCTTTGATGTGGGTTTTCTATCTTGTTTGTAGATATTGGCATAATTGCATGATTTGGTATATGGGGTGGTATCAGACTATGGTTTTTGATTCAGGATTGATTATTGGTACTTTGGTATTGAGCATTTTTAGATAAGGGGTTGATTGGTTTTCTTTGTAATAGATATGTGGTTGATTATTGATGCTCATGCTGCCAGTGTGTTGTTTCTTGTTGTGGGAATATGGGAGTTGTCTTGATTATATACTCATTGTTATTGATACCCCTATTTCCAAAAGATTGAACTGTTGGGATGTGAGCCCACAATTCACTTGTGCATCTCTCTCCCTCATTAGCCCAACATGGGGAATTCAAATTATATTGGGAGGGTGCAATTGCAGGGATTCTAACTCAAGATATCTTGTTCTGATATCCTAATAAAGTTTATTGGTTTAATGCGGTTCCACAAAAGCTTAAGCTATTAGAATATGGAATTTACATGTTCTATATTCTAACAGTTATATCTGATCTACAAGCTGCTGCTGCAGCTTTTCCATTGTTGGTGACATCATTGTTGAACAAACTATCGTTACATTGTCAACCAGACAAACAGGAAGTAATTGAAATAGAAATTGTTCAATCAAAGTAGAGTATTGCTTGTTATCTGAATGAACTCTAAAGCAGTCAAACGTAGAAGTCATATGTTAGCGTCCTTCTTTATTCATGTGAGTTTACTGGTTGTTCTTTTTATATATTATCTATTCTCGATGTTCTGTATTGTGAGATATATATATATATATATATTTAGCTGTCCAGTAATTAGATTTTAATGCCTTTAACTGAATTTTAAGTGGGAAATTTGTTCACTGTGTATGCACTTGCTTTCATGTATGTTTAATTAAACCCTTTTAATTCTTTTATAAAAAATCATGACACCTGAAAGCAAGTAACTGAAGTTGAGTTACTGCATATGGATCTGAGTTCTTGGTCATTTTGTGGTATATTTTCTTGTGTAAGTGTATAAACAGAGAAACAAGTTTATTAATGCCATTTTGTTCTTCAATTAGGATTTTCGATATCGGCTGCTAGATTAGGATTGCCAGATACAGGTTTGATATCCTATGGAGAAATGGTGGATCAGGGGCAACAAATTACCCAAGCTGTGTCAATTCCTGTTATCGGGGATGGGGATAATGGATACGGGAATGCAGTGAATGTTAAGAGAACTGTCAAGGGATATATTAAAGCCGGTTTTGCTGGGATTATGCTTGAAGATCAGGTATAATATTAAAATATAATTTTTCATCCATGAATCTGCCTGTTTTCGTCTTCTTACTCACTCTCTCATGCACTGGCTGTTGCATGGTGTGATTTCGTATTGTAAGGTGAAGTAATTTCTGAGTGTCCTCCTGGTATACCTTCGTATGACTTTGTGGTTGGTTTGATAAGTTGATGTGAAACACTTTCTAACAATCCTTTTGTAAAAAAGTTCCTTGTTTTGTTAAGCATTGTGCATTCTGTTATTTTGTGCCTGTATGAGACACTTATTGCTTACAAAGCTATCCTCTTTAGCTCTCTCCAAAGGCTTGTGGTCATACGAAAGGCAGGAAAGTGGTCTCAAGAGAGGAGGCTGTGATACGGATAAGAGCAGCTGTTGATGCTCGGAAAGAGAGTGGCTCTGACATTGTCATTGTTGCACGAACTGATTCTCGTCAAGCAGTGTCTTTGGATGAAGCACTCTGGAGGTCAAGGGCATTTGCTGATGCTGGAGCAGATGTTCTTTTCATTGATGCACTAACTTCTAAAGAAGAGATGAAGGCTTTTTGTGGAATATCTTCCCCAGTTCCAAAAATGGTACCTTTCATTTTTCATGGTACATTAAAAAGTAACAAACATCTAATGTTGTTGAAGACTTGGCATTTATTACATTTCTCCTAAGTTGTTTAGTAAACCCTTTTAAATGCATGTGTATACACACACATGCTCCCAAAACCCAACCCAACCCAACTAACCCTTCATCCCAAAAACAATTGGGTTTGACTATAACCCATGTGTTGGAAGCAGAAGATAAACCTGAATGATATCTATAATTGAAAATTAAAAAAGTAAACATAAAAAGTTTCAGCTTTTATTCTCTCCTGTCATACTGGCTGTTGAAAAACTGTTCTTTCTATCCAACAAAGTTGAATATATCTGTACCATGTAAGTTGAGAAATATGTTGTAGCACGACTCCAAATTATGTTCTGACTAGAGCACTCAACAAAGTGGTAAAAGCTCAACTCTGAAGGATATCTGTCACCTGGTGCTAAATGTGTAAGGAAGATACAGAATTTGTTGTTCATTTACTATGGCATCACTCTGCTGCCTGGGATATTTATTATTTGGTCCTTTGGTTTTTGTTTTTAGTTGTTTAGGGAGTGTCAAACTTGATGGGGCATGTTATGTCTACAAGGTGTGATACTGCTGTAGTTTTAAGTTCTGGTTTAGGAATAAACATCTGACTACATGCACCTTTCATTACTTTTTTTGGTTCATTATCATTTTTAATTTCTGTTTACAAGAACATATTTGGACATTCTTAACAGAGATATTTAGGTTAGTTAACATGTGGGTATTGTATGAGATATTTGCTGTTGCATGAACGATAAATTACATTTAGTTTCGGGTATTTTAGCTGCACTGCATCCATATGGAAATATGTGATTTATACATGTCAAGATATGTCAATCATTAATCTAAGAAAAAATCATCTCTCAAATTTGTAACATCAGAAGCGTTGTACAAAAATGAAAATGATTTGCAGAGATTGATAAAGCTCTATGTTCTATCAGGCCAATATGCTTGAAGGAGGGGGCAAAACACCAATACTCAATCCCCTTGAACTTGAGGATGTTGGATATAAACTTGTGGTTTATCCACTTTCCTTGATTGGGGTTTCTATTCAAGCAATGCAGGTAACATGCCTATACCTTTTCATTTGAGTCCAGTTCATGGACAAAAGAAAAGTTCAATTGTCTTGGAAATCCAATAACTGTGCTACTATAAAAAGGTTTGAAATAGTTATGACTCTTGATCTCTCTGATTTTCTTACGTGAATTAATGATGTTGTTCAAAACCCAAAAAATTTGAGCAGCTAAGAAAAACATAAACATGAATTTCCTGAAAATTAAATGGACAAGAAACTGTGTACAAAATAGTAGTAACAGATTTGTGGGTTACAATCTCTGATATAGATGGTTTAGGAGTATTCTTGGCTAAAGAAAATCCTCAAATGATTACACCTTGAATTCTTGGCCATTACAATACAATCTGGAAGTGTCTAAGTTCCACAAGAATTTTAAAGGTTCTGTATCTTTAGAGCTCTGTTATCCATTTCCTTGGAAATGGAATTATTTTCTATATATTAATGAACAAAAAGGCAATTTTGTTCCATTATCTTTCACATGGAATCAATTTGAGGTATAACGTAGTTTTTTCAATTAATAATGGCTGCTACAGATCTATAAAGTGAAATCGTAACAACTTACGATGTTATGTAAGGTACTTTGCACTAAATTCAATTTTTAAATTATCTTGTAACATGATTCTGTTAGATTCCACTGCAAGTAATTCACTTATTATATGAATACATAATCTGGTTAAGAATATTAAAGGTATTATCACCAAATCTGTCAACAAACTAATTTTCAGAAAAGGCCATGCATTTTTCTATGCTTTTAAGACGTGGTACTCGTCTAGAATTCACTAATTTAGAATATTACTTAGGGTTAAGGAACTTATTGAATCAATTGCAGGAAGCACTAGCTGGTATCAGAGGAGGTCGTATCCCTCCTCCTGGAAGCATGCCATCCTTCAAAGAGATTAAGGAAATTGTAGGTTTCAACAATTATTATGACGAAGAAAAGCGGTATTCTGCCAGCATCACTCCACAATCTTCAGAAAGATGTGAGTACCTTGTAAATTCACATGACTCATATCAATGTCATTACTGCTTACCCACTTCTGAATGATGATAATTTGTTATCACATGGCCTGTAACGTGAAGTTGTATATTATTAACTGGAAATCTAATGTCTTTCCCTCTGTTCTGATTGAGGTTGATTACTTTCATCAGAAGTTAACTGGGTTAAAACTGGATTAACATCACAGTATGAATGGCTCATTAGAAGATAAATTTCAACTTGTTTCCATTAAAGGAAATATCCAAGATTGGCCAATTTTTCCTATACCAGTTACCATCCCACCCAAAGTTCTATAGATATAGATGGGCATTTTCTGTTTCTTAGTGCTTATACATGAAGGTTATTTTCCAGTGACCAGTAATGTGTACAGTCTCCAAAGGAGGGTTAAAGATGATGCAGAGCAGAAAGATCAGAGTCCTCAAGATCCCATTGTTGAAGTTATAACACCTGACGTGTACAATAACTATGGTGCAGATGGTTCCAGGGGTTCATTTTCTGGGATCTGGTCTCGGACGTTGAGGGTCAAAATAACTGGAAGAGATGGATTTGAGAAACTTGATGTTAGGATTCCTGTAAGTCATCTATTCTTTATGGGCACAGATATCATATAGTTTTCTTATTGCATAGCATTCCCTTCATAGTGCTTTTGTTGTTAGAACCAAACTATTATAGAAAAAGAAAAATAGAGAAAACAAAACCTAGTAGTTTAATGATGAAGCTTTAACTCTTTTATTTAAAATAACTTTCAACTATATTTTACTTTTCATTATGTAGTTTATGTTTGATTATTCTTTTAAACATTTATCATGGCATCTTTCTGTAGTGCCTAAAGTTTAGGTGATGTACTAATTACATTTATAACCTCAACTATTTCTGGTATTCAGAAAGAGTAAAACTGTCAGTTTTAAGGGCCTCGCACAATAGCTGAAACCTCTAGGAGTCAGTCCTTGTTATGGCAAAACCTCTATAACCTTTTCTTGAAGTTCTTGGTCCAAGCACACCACTTTCATGCACTTCTCGGAAAAGGTTCACCATCAACCTTATTGATAATCCCAAGTTGGTCTTCACTCTTATATCATTAGAATCCCTAAGGTGTTGTGATATTAGGTGAACACTTGAGTGCCAGGGTGCGATCTGCCATCAACTTTAATGGATGGAAGTTGTGAAGACTTTGCAATTTTGGCTTCATCCCGACTCCCGAGGGAACATTTTCCTACTCTAGAAAATTGATAGTAGATGTACAAGGAGGTGCTTATCAAGAAAAATGTAAAGGAGCAGGAGTGGGTGCAGCTATGGAAGCTTGAAGAACAAGAGAAGGCTTCAAACTTTCTTGGAAAAGAGAAGTTTGCCTAATTGTATCAAGGTTTTTCAAGGAAACTACTTTGAGTTGGGTGATTCCCACATCCTGTACTGCGGTGTTTTGTAAAAGGCAGAAGGTTTTTAATGGAGGGAAGAAGGGTGAAGGTCTAGGAAGTTTTCTTTGTAATCCCACCCCATTTTTCCTGTCTCTTAAATCTTTGAAATTATTTCATACACCAATCTCCTGCATGCTAGTTATGATATTTCAGATTGTCTTATGAAAAACTGCTTTCTTTTTTTGGTTAAATACATTTTACAGGCTGGATTCTTGGATGGAATCACAAATATAGTTCCAGGTATTATTCATCTTCTCTATACTTATTGAAAACGGGTAATTACTTCAGTCTGGTAGTCGCTAGTATAACTAAAAGTCCACATATTTTTCCAACAGCTCTCGGCGGTGTAAACATCAAAGAACTGTTGAATGAGGCAGCTGATGAAATGGGAGGGAAAGTGCTGTTAGATTTTAATGACACAATTGGTGATAGGATTCAAGTTTTTCTAGAGTAAATCCAAAGAGGTTTTACCAGTTTAATGCTAAAGGAATTCTCTATATAATATGAACAGTCCTCCAAGACGCTTTGTTTATTGGGTGTTCTCTTAAGAGACAATTTCTCAAATTGGGTAGAAAAATACCAAATGCAGATGCAAGTGTTTAACTTCTATGATTGGTGCAGGGGTAAGACCTACACACTCATACTTGGCAAAAGAAACTGGTGGTGAGAACAATGTCAGGTTTAGAAGAAATATTGTCATAAATATTAGCACATTAAGGAAGAAATGATAGAAAAAAGTATGTACAAAGTTTGATAAAACTTTCTTTTCAAGAGATGGTGGATAAATATTCTTGATTGTGATTGCTTTCTAGATGTCGTGTGCTTATACTACATTTCGATCAAACAAGTACAATTTGCTGGAAAAAAAATTATACAGTTTGGATGACATTACTAACATTCAATTTCGCAGTTGGGAGTGTATACGCTTGTGTCGTCAACCCGTAACAGATTTTTCGAATTTCTAATTTAATTTGCCTACCTTTCAGATTTAGTGCTATTTTATCAATGTTCAAATTTTATCATTCCTAATAAGGAAAGAGGTACCGCTCACACCACATGCCTGACAGAATCACCATTTATCTGGCCGGACCGGGATGGGAATGACAAACCCAGCCCTACTCCGTCCCGTTCTCATACCTTCTCGCCAAACACACAACATATTCTGATTCCATTAGAGAAAAAATAAAAGATGAGAGAGTTGAATGAATCAACACTTATTTAGCCAACTGACAAAAAGAATATATATCTGATATTAAAAAAAATATAAAAAAGATAAAAACAGAAATGATAACCTGAGAACGGTTATCTCCACTACTACACAAACAAGACAACAGCAAAAACCAGCTAAGGCAATGCACCTATATAACTCTCTGGTGACCCCTTGAGAAACCAGGAGAGTTACAAAGGGGACGGATAAAAAATACATCACATGGGGGCCACATAAAATTACACCACTTTTTGTTTTAAAATACAACCTTCTATACCAAATATTGGTCTAGATGTGAATTGTGATAGAATTTTATAGTAAAAACCCAGCTTGGCATTGCAGTCTTATCGACCTCAAATCAAACATGTATTGATTATTTCCGTGAATTTCATCGGTAGCCACCGCCATATGGCTGCTGAGGATAACCACCTGCCCCCATCATGGGGTTATAACCGGCAGGCATGTTTGACCCAGGAGGCAATCCAGTTGGCCCTTGCATCCCCACGCCCATATTCATTCCCATTCCCATGTTCATCCCCATACCCATTCCCATACCCATGGGTTGATTCATGCCTCCATAACCACCCATGCCCATGCCTCCACCCGGACCACCACCCATACCCATACCCATACCCATAGCCGGACCTGGACCTGGACCCATACCCATGCCCATACCAGAACCTATCATAGGGTTTGGTTGACCCCTAAGAACGCTTGCACCTGCACGGCCAATACCAGAACCAGATCCCATAGCTTTACCCATGGTAACAGTAGATGCTGCAGGAGTTGCTGGCTGCCTCTCCATCCTCTTTTCTTTCCGGTTAATGGAATCAAAATCAATTCCAATATCATTCAACGGATTAATTTTAGCTGCAGGTGAAAATAAAACAAAAGCCGTTACAAGACCCACAAAAAACATAGACAGTCAATAAACAAGTTGAAGAGGCTTGTCCTACTGCCAAAAGAGGAAAAAAACAGGCACATATGGCACTCACCTCCAGATATATTAAAATTAACTAGTCCTCTGCTCAGTGTATCAGCCCAAACTGCTGACTTGGGCTCAAACTTGTCTTTAGGTGGTTGAGCAACTAAAGAAAGTGCCCCTGTTGAAGATGACAGTGCTTGATGTGAACCCATTGAAGTGTTTGGCCCTGTTTGTGGAAAAAGGTTGCCAAGAACATCACTGTTGTGCTGCAAACCTGGTCCGGTTGGAGCTTGATGAACAGCCTGTGAAGCTACTGGGCCGACAGAACCCTGTTGTGGATGAAAGTTCCCACCATTAAGTTGTGCAGCTGGTCCAGTATGAGTTTGAGGAGCTATGTATGAGGTGATGGGAGCTGTAGAACCTCCTTGTTGTGAGAAGTAGTTTCCGCTATTGGGAGCGGAAAATCCACCTTGTTGTGAAATGAAATTCCCACTGTTAAACTGCGCAATTGGTCCTGTCGGAGTTTGGGGAGCCACATGTGAAGTGATGGGAGCTGTAGGTCCTCCCTGTGGGGAAAACCCCCCACTGCTGTTTTGTCCAGCAAATCCAGTTTGATTATGAGGCACAATAGCTCCAGGCTGCGCATGAAAATTCCCATACATATTAGCACTTGGCTGTGAAGGTTGACCTGTTGGACCTGAAAAGGGTGGTTGTGAAGTCATGACAGGTGAAGGTCCAGGAGGTGGGAGAATATCTGCGAGAATATCAGTGTTGTGTTCAGCAGACTGCTCTTGAGGCAAAAATTGTGAGTTTGTTGGCGGAGTTTGAACACTGGAAACCCCAGGTGCAGAATAAGTTACGGCAGAAAATGAGTCCCCAAAGGGAAAGTTAGCTGCATCCTGGTTCATGGTTGGAGGGAAAGAGTCCGTGGGTGTGGAAGTCTGTGGCTGAGGTTGGACAGTCTCACCGGAAGGGAGAGCTCTGAAGGGGGAGTCGCCAAATGGATCATCAAATGACTGCATCAAAGGAGAACACTTTTAATCCAATAATTATAATTGGATTTACAATTTTGTCCCCAAAGTTTAGGCGGAAATACTTTTTTGACTTGCAGTTAAAAAGGACGTGATTGGAAAATTTAAAACTACGGGGACCTAAGTGGAAAACACCTCAATCTACAGGGGCCAAAGTTTAATGTTGCCATTTTAATTCCATGGAAAATGACAAAAAAATTGATGAAGATACAGCAGAGAAAGCAGGGGTCACAGATTCTCTAATGTCAACTACTCTGAACATGTTAGCTATTGAAACCATTATTAATATGAGATGCGATGAGAAATACCTTTTAATATTTCAAAATTTTCAAATTATAAATTCCGTTCCTATAATTGTAGAGAGAAGCCTTTTGCATACCAACATTACATTTGACCATTTTACTCATACTAAATGATCCATAAATTTATTCCTAAGGAAGATAACCCATTTAAAAACAAACAGGATAATGAATGTGTCCAGGGGAAATTTGTTGTGTGATGTGCATATAACCTGTAAAAGTGGGTCATAAATGAGACATATTACTCTAACCAAAAAATGGACATGTTAAATACATCAAGGGTCAAATTGAAAGATCTCCTAAACGATTATCCTGTCATAACTCAACTCAAGAAGTACGGCCCTTCAAATTTTTTTATGACATAAAAAATGCCTACCTGGCTCATAACATTAGACGCTGATGGAGTTGCCACAAATGTGGTCGCAGAACCAGAGTTTGCATGGGCATCAGGTTCAAATGTAGTGGTAGGAGATGTAGTTGGCACAATGGCCAATGCATTTGAAGAGAATGAGTCTGATAGGGAGCCGAGTAAGTCCATCTCAACATTGTTTGAGGTAGCTGGGGCAGCTGAAGCAGCTTGGGCAGTTTGGGCAGCTGCTAAAGGAAAGACAGTATGAGTTTTCATAGTGCTGGCATTTTTTTTCTTACTGTAAACAAAATAATATACCTAAAGGGCCACAAAACAACTATATCAAAACGAAACCTGCTTGCAAAGGTAACCAAAATAGTTAATGATCTGGTTCTATATTCAGGAAACCAACATAAAAACACTATAGTTACACGAGATCTTGGTTCACTATACACATCCAAAACTAAACTACCTTTGCCTAAACAGTATTATGATGTTGAACACAACCGGTAAAAATAGCATCCAAGCCTGATAAAAGGATCAAACTAAGTGGAGGCTGCCAACAATAAATCTACACTGCCCAAAGTTACCACAACTGCAACTACCATGCCTAATCAGAACCATAACCTACACAACCACCATCACCTATCATTCCATCACAAACTATTATGTCGTTACCTCAACCTCCACAGCTCCTACTGATCTCACCATTATAATTTATAGTCACTAACTTTATAAGACATTCTGTGGGCATTTTTCTCATATAAAGAAAACATGCAACTTTCACATGTATAAAGGAACTTCTGGTTCTATATTATCAGAAGAAATATATATGAAACGGGTAATACTTCTCAAATAGCCTGGTATATTATGTTTTAGACTGTTAATCAGGGAAAATCATGTCTGAATGTGCTAACATGATTAACAATCAAGATAAAAGAAAATAAAGAATTCATGCAAAAGTAAAGTGCATATCGAGTAGGGACCGTTTAGTAGCAGATGTCCCATGTCGTTTGAATGGGACCATCTGCCGTTCAAATACCCCCATCCTGATGTGTGCAACATTTCACAATCAGAACCAATGAGTTAAAATAATTGATGATACAGTGATAGCTCATTATTCCGCACTTCAAGCTTGAATAAAGCACAAACATGTACACAGGACTTACTAACCTGAAACAGAACCAAATGGAACGCCTGAAACAGAACCACGTGGATCAAAAAATTCATCAGAAGGCTCCACTTCCTGCTTTACAGGCGATGCAGAAGCAACTTGAGCACTGGTTGCTTGGCCTGGATTAGTGCTTGTAGGGGGAGAAGAAGCTCTAGGAGCAGAAACTGTTGGAGTTTCTCCACCCCTGTAAAGAAATATTAAATGATTGAGCTACTGTTATAATAGAACAAATATAAATAAAATGTGAATTATATATCTTTATAAAGAAAAAACTACCTTTCACTGTGAACAGGACTTCGAGATTCACTTACAACCTCTTCATAACTAGGAGGAGCGCCAATGTTTTGTTCCGAAAATTTCCTACTTAGCCTGCGGATAATGACTAATATTCTTAAGGGGAACTAGCAATATTCTGGAATGCTTTGAACGTGATGAATATTTATGAAACAACATTATCACTGAACTTCAAACATATTATCATTACTTTGTTTTTCTTACCAAAATCTTTAATATTTCTTGAATATATCATATATTAATTTATGTACATATATACCACCAATAAAATAACATATAAAAAAATATGGATGCCAGTGTGGGTAAACATTGTTTTTCTAAAAAAGCCTATAAATTAAATTAGTTAATTCTTTTTCATGTCATGCTATCTCCATCCACCTATTTTAGTGACCAAAAAACATAGAACCCTTCTTAATTGGAATATATAGAAATTTCCTTGATATGAGTAAGTAAAGAAACCTAGAGATCTTAAAAAAAAAAGTAAAGGTACTACCAATCTTAAAAGAAGATCTTTATACTAGAAATCATAATGTTCCTCGTACAACAAAATATTTAGTGTAAAAAATTTGAATTTCTTCATATGTATTATGTGATTTAGAAGAGTGATAAGATTAGGATCATAATTGTATCACTTGATTCCTGTCCAACTTTAATCACATATAGTCATGTCCAATAAATGTCTAACACGCACACAGATTTTTAGATATATATCGAGCACAAATCAACTGAAGATTTACCTTCCATCCTGAGATTGGTCATCAGCTCTAGCGCCACTACCACTGCAGTGAGGACAAATAAAGGACAAAAAATAAGTTTACAATCTAGGTCAAGTATACAATGAAGGCATCAATTGTAGCCTAAATTGTGACAGATATTTTCTTTTAAACAAAATAATTTGGCATGTTACGAAGATAACTTCCAGTTTTCAAGCATTAAGATGGAAAATGTGTTTAGTCCCTGTTCAAAATAATTTTTTTTTAAAGATTTTCTTATCCTTCATCAGGGAACCATCACAAAAATTATATATAAAAAAAATAAAACAAAATTGTTCATAACAACTTTCCCTTCTTAATGTTCAAGTGAAAAACTAAGTGGACATTCTTAAATTAGAGAGTTGAGCATGATAAGCCAAAACAAAATCAATAACGACACCAATAAAATGAAAATGGTTCTTAATCATGCTAGTGATTCAAGATTATCAATAGAAGTAGGCAATTACCGAGATGAATATTGGCCATCATCATCCAATGAGCGCTCTCTCTCTCTATCAGAGCTTCTACTTCTAGAGTCATGGTAATCATCAACACTTCGACTTCTTCCTCGGTAATCATCATCCCTAAAACCTTCTCTGCCGTTGCGTTCATCATATTCTCTGCCATAACGATCTCCGTCACGACTATATGAATCCCCTTGTTTTCCATACCGGTCGTCATCCCTATAGCCCAATTCTCTTTCCCTCCCATAACCAGAACCATTTCTATCCTCATCCCTACCTCCATAGCGGCCTTCATAACGATCATCATCATATTTGTCACCGTATCCTCCTGTACTTGAATAGGAACCGGGCCTATACATTCCGCCTGGTGATGATGTATTACGAAACCTGTTGCGATACAGAAAACAGTCATAAACCTGTTCCGTTATGGTTTCCTGTAAAGGAAGAACCAGGGGTAGTTTTACAATACTACTCCTTCGACTTCTCTCTCTTACGACTAGCTAAAACATTTATAAAAGGAAAAACATAAGTAAATCACTGTTTTGAACTATTATCTGAACTGCACATAAGATGATGAGCATGATAAGCCACAATTAGCTAGTGAGATGTTTCTCACAATAAATATGGAAAATTTTAAGGGTCTATCATAGGAAACATTTGAATTTAACAAAATTGAAATAGAAGGCGCAAGAAAAGGACAAGGTGCCCATTTATGTTTAAAAATACAAAAGAGAATATTACAGGAAAAGCATTACAATTAATTCATAACTCATCAAATGAAGACAAATTAAAATCAATGAAATATTCTTAAACTGCCTTAATAATTTAATGTAGATGCAATAACTCAAAAACAAGAGACAAGTTACAGCCACTACTCAAATTAATACTGTGCAGCAATAAAGAAACTTCAATATGAGACTTAAGAAAATTAACGCCCTCACATATTTCTACTGAAGAAACTTTTCCTGTTCTTAATTGCATGGGCTGCTTTTTAAAAATAAAAAATGGATGTCGAAGCAAGGCAGAAATTATGTTTTATTGTTGGAGTGCTGCTGTATTTTACTGTGCTACTTGTTTGCTGCTATGTAATATTATGATTTTTAGCTCTCTTTTGAAGTTGTAGTTGAGTAGTCTAGCTAGACAAGTGGACATCTTCACCCTTATATTAGATTATATAGTATTGTATTTTTATTTTTATTAATGAAACTATGTTTCTTATAGTATAAATAAACAAATAAATAAAACAAAGCAGCATACCAAACTACTTCAGGCTTTCAGACCATTGTGAACCCCACATAAATGAAGAATAAAAATTATTAAGCCTGATACCATAGGTACAAACAATTGTATGTAATTTATGCATTATATGCTATATAGCAATGTCCGAGAATAACATGGCAGTATTTTTAACAACCCTTTCTGAGAGCATGCTTACTTGTCCCTGTTAGCAGCTGCTTTCTGTCTAACCTCAATTATCCTTTCTTTATCATTGACAAGGGCCACAAGACTCTGAGACTTCTTTCTGACATTACTTCCCTGGTCCCTTCCACTCGAATCAATGTATTGAAAATCGGATAATGTCTGTATCATAGAAAAAATACTAGTTCAGTTAGCTCAATAAATAAAGCAGATTGCTAAGCCATTGGGGCTAGCACAAGTGGTAAGGGTAGCAGATACATTTTCTTTGCAATTCTCCTTTAAAAAAAAAAAAACCAAAGACTTAATATGAATCTTGGAAACAGCATTGAGGCAGAAATTACCGATATTTGATACGCATGCTCCTTGATATCATCGATGACACGCTCTGACCCATGAGCCACCATGTATTCCAAAACAATTAATGCCTGCAGTTAAGAACAAAATATTTTATAAACCAACACATATAGTAAACAAAACATTACCATATTGCTGCATCATAAAAATAAAAATAGGAAATCTCATGACGGTGATAATAGGAGTTACTCATACAGTACATGGAGATGGAGGGGACCGGGGGTGTGAGAGAGAGAGAGAGAGAAAGAGAGCAAGCTAAACAATGTGTATCTGCCAGTTACTACAAAAAAGCACAACAACATGACAAACCTTGTAAACATGCCTCCAATTCTTGCCAGTATCACTTAGCCGCTTCCAAATTACGGACATGATCATTTGGTATTCATGGCTGCACAATTGTTCCAAAATGAATTATTTCGAAGATAGTAAGAGATTCAAAGAACCCACAAAAGGAAACTACGAAGCTTACTAGTTTCTGGTTGCCTGTGCAATATCAGCAAGAAGTGATCCATGAGGACCCCAGGGCTCATTACTAGTAGCATCAAGAACCTTGAAAGGAAATGGGAGAGAGAGTGAGTAATTGAGTAAGAAAGAGAATATAAATCCAAAGGCTATTAGAGTTCTACCTCACGACCACTGAACCTAGGCATTGATGACTATCAACCAACTTACTTTTGCATATTGACATAGCACAACTAACAGAGAAGAAGGTTACCTTCTGTTCTATTCCAGGAACTTTAAGCACTTTCTTATTCACCTCTCTCTTGCTGCAAGAACACAATAAAGAACTACAGTTACGCAGTTGTGGTTGCAAAATATAGGGAAAAAGAAGAAGTTATTTTATCAACAGAGGGACATAAAAACTCGAAATTTGTCAAAAGTACAATTCAATATCAGTTTTTTCGCAATAACAAAAGAAGTTATTTTATCAACAGAGGGACATAAAAACTCGAAATTTGTCAAAAGTACAATTCAATATCAGTTTTTTCGCAATAATCTTAAAGTAACAAGCAACAATCAAATGCTAGGTAGGAAGAACATTATCTAAGCACTAAATTGAGAAAGAAAAAAAACAGTAAGCAATTTAATCTGACGAACACAATTCAATACTTACATGTCCCTAACAGTTTGGTCAAAGACTTTCTTCATCGTAGCTCGTTTTCCGAATTAACAGAAATCAATAACGGCAGCAAATTCCACGATCCAATTCAAATGAATATCGCCTCTAAGGAAACCTTTACCTATAAGAATCATCAATTCAATTAATACAAGACAAGGTTGAAGATCTTTGGACCCAATAACAGAACAGAATGTTCATTGATTAAATCACAAAAAAAAAAATTTGGTTAAAAAAATGCAACACTTCAATTGAATGGAAACCCAAATGTCATCGAATTCAAAATTGGTTGGAAAACTTGAGGAATATGCTACATGTTGTAAATGGAAGAGGCAGCCAAATGTAATGTTTCAACCAATTTACATATAAATATAGAATGAATCTTTTGAATCAAGTATTGACAACCCAGATACCATCTATATCTAATTTGACCCATATCAATTGGGAAATCGAATTTGAATTCAAATGAGCCATTACAAGAAGAAAAATGCAAAGGTAGGCAATCAGCAGAGCTGAATCAAATAAAATAAGAACACTTGGATGGATTAGATCTGAAACAGAGAAAACTGAAGCAAAATGAGAAATACCCAGATCTAAATGAAACGAAACCTACCTACCTGATCCAAATGAAGCGATTATTGGGAACCAGAAAAAAAATTGTGAAAAAAGAATAAGAATTGGATCTGTTACAGACAAAGGGAGGGGAAGGAGGAGGAGCAGATAGAGAGAAGTGCTCCTGAATTCCCTAAGCTGTTATTTTGGTCATTGTCTTCTTCTGTGAACAAAATAAGAATAGCAAAGAGAGACAGACAGACAGAGAGAAGAGGTCCTTGGCTTTTGGATTTTGGGTTTTTTTTGGTTTATTGGGTTAATTTGTTTTTTTTTAATTTTATTTTTCTCTAATCTCTATCCATTTTGACTATAAAATTTCGTTTTGAAAAAATGAAATTAATAATTTATTTAAATGGCAAAATCACGAGAAAGACAGCGCACCTTACACGCAGCGATTTAAGGAAAACAACCCTCTCTTTCTTATGATCTTATTCTTTTATTTTTTATTTTTCTTAATTGTAATTAACCATTTTTTAATAATTCTTAATTATGATTAAACCTTTTTTGTGTGAAGATGTTATACTTTTCTTCCATTTAGAGTTGTAATAACAGTGAAGGAGGGGTCCCCCCTTTCTCACCAAAAAACAATAGTGAAAGAGTGTTTGAATAGCTGGACTGCTAAAATGTCTCTATCTTGTTGTCCTTAGACAATTCAACCAATTTTATGTTGAAATGTTATTGACAATTTTTCACTATTTTATGTTGAAATGTCACCGATATAGCTCAAAACTAGAATATGATACATCACTAGTCTATTATTTAAGGAGTATACCGATGATCTCAGGTTCGAATTCTCATGTCACTTCGATAGTGTACATGTGTGTGTGAAAAACCTCTCAGGTTCGAATTCTATGTTACTTATGATTTTGAACTTTTTCAATTTTTTATTATAAAATAATCAAAATTTTCGCATAAACACTTATCGTCCACGGGTGCATTTTTGCTCACCACTTTAACTATAGGTGTACCCTCACCACCATCCTCAATGCTTGACACGTGTCCATAGACATAACCATAGTTAACTTTTGCTTTGTATTTATGGAATCATGATTACACGCCTATGGACACGTGTCAAACATTGAGGATGGTGGTGAAGGTACACCTATGGTTAAAGTGGTGAACAAAAATGCTCCCATCGTCCACTTGTTAACAATTATTGGAGTTTCATGATAAATAAAAAGACATTATGTTTTAAGTTAAGTCGATGTCCGTTCGGATGGACACATTTATGGAGAAAAATTGTGTTGGTAATCAAACAAAATCACACCAGTTGTCGGTTTGGTTTCTTGGATATTTCGGCGGACCGGTTATTATGCCCGCCCTACGTTATTTTTCTTTAATGTTTTTTGTTTTGTTTTTTTCCTTTTTGGTCAATTACTGCTCAAAACTTGATTTGATAAGCAACCGGCATAAAAGCCTCTTTCTAGTATATTCTACAATGTTTACTTGAAATGAAAAGTGGCCAAAAAGAGAAACCATTACACAGCCAGCACCCATTCTTCTTTGCTTCAACTATTCAGCATCTTTACATGCCTAAATAACATCGACCCGAAAATATAAACATATTCTCATTCTCTTTAATATCGCTTGTATAAATAAATAAATAAATAAATAAAAAGAAATGATTAAGAATTGATGATGAGAGAGAGAGAGAGAGCTGTCACAGCTCATAATTAATGAAATTATTCCGGGTGAAATTACAGCTCATATTTTATGTATGCCAGTGCTATTTTGTGATGTCCCCCATTTTCCAAAATAGAATCCCTTGCGATTGCGAAGCATCGTATCATCAACACACAAATCTTATTATATTGCTAACGCGGTTTGCTTGCACATATTGAATGGAAAACAGGTGAAACAAAGTGTTTCTAGGAACATTCTTAAACTTTCGTATAGAATATATCTCCACAATTTTTTAATGGAAGACATTAAAACTTAAATATTTCTTATTTTAATGAAAATTAAGAAAGGATTTTAGTCATAAAACTACAATTTTCCCTAAAATCATCATTTTTCTTTACAAATTAAAATTTGTTGAAAACTCCAAAAAATAAAAGCCAATGGCGGACATAGTTGAAAGATACCAAAGGCATTGCAAAGTGGTTTGTAGCTCAAGTGGTTAGGGCGCTTCCAGCGGTGCCCCCAGCCCGCGCAACAGGGGGCCGAAGCTCCAATTTGTAGTTTCAGCGGGCTTCTACGGCCCTGGCAAATCATGGGTCCCACCAAACTAGGCCAACCCAAAGGCAAGAATAGCTTGGGCTGTTGCCGGGGTTTGCTTACGTCAGCAACTAAAAAAAATCTAAAAAAGTACTAAAAATTTCAGATTTTTTTTAAACTTAGTCATATTCTTCACTTCTCATACCAAAACTCTATACAAATTCATCTCCTCATATCTCATGTGAATAGTGGTTGTCATGACAATGGGTGTAAACACCACAACCTTTTGCAATAGCTGCCACTCTGCCACTATTCACATGAATAGTAACAACTCTTGCCTTTTACCATGACAAATGGGTGGAAGTGCTCTTTAGAGAGATCTTGTGTTCGAATCCCCTTTACCCAGTATCAATTGTATATATAAAATAATTCCAAAGCACACTTGCCGCTTTTTGCCGAGGTGCGCACAAGATGTCTCTATAACAGGAGGCAAATGTACTTTTAGAAAAAGTTGGGGAGGGAAAAGAGTGATGTTTTATATTCTATTTTTGTTCTTCAAATTTTTCTCAAGGTAAAAGCAAATTATGAAATTTACATAGAAAAAGAAAAAGAAAAAGAGATGCTACTAAATAAATAAAGGGGGTCTAAAAAGCAACACAACTAAGAAATGTATTTTATATAGTGAAAATCTGTAATGGTGGTAAGCATAATCATATAGCACAAGTGATCAAAGGCACATGTGCTTTTTTAAACTTGTGACTTGTCAATCAAAGTAGGCCAAGAGATGCTTTTTTTTTTCTATTGGAGATGGCTTCACTCGGCCAACGCACGAAACAAAAAGCTTGAATTCAGCCATCCGTTTAAGACCATTTTGCAAATCCCAGCCCTCCTTTTTTAAACATACACGTACACTTTCAATCTTTCAGGCCATTTGTCTCGATATGCAGCCTCATTCCTTGGCCCTGTGAACTTTTGACTCGAGGTAAAAGGTCCCGTTCTTGGCATTATTTTCGAATGAAGTGTTGTATATCTGCACTGGTTATACAAACGATAGTTTAAATTACTCTAAATTAATATACTTTGTGAAGAGGAGGGCTCGGACTTGGATTTAAGAAAGATTTTTCTGAACCCGTTCAAAATACATACATGATGAGACCATGATAAATTTCCTCCCAAGTGGTTCTCTCTGAGACATTAAGAATCTGCCTAGCTTCCTTAGTACTTCTATGAACTGAATTCTGTAATGTTTCTTGAGCCACACCCGATTTTGAGGCATGTACAAAATAATGCAGATTTATGTAATAGCCCGTGTAGGCATCTAAAGTTGGTATGATTTGTAGCAGGGGCAAGGAAAAGAAAACCAATAAGATTTAAACTCCGCTAAATAGATACTCCTGAGATTATGTTCAAGTACTTAAATATGAGCGTAAGGAAGGAAAGAGCAGAAAAGTGTGACATAAAACATATTAGCAATATAGAACCAATAGCACCCAAATAGAATATTTGATTCTTTTGGGGGCATCGATTTATGAGTATTAATCACTATTATCTGTAATTTGTACAAGAACAATTGTTGGCTTTAGAAGCATTGTTTGAGTTGAAATTTGTCCCACGTTGGAAGTTTAGAGTTCTTTTAAAGTCATTTTAGTAGTTTAGTTTGATTTGGGTCATCCAAGTGGCCCAATAAGTGGCTATGGGTTTAATTTTCAATCACTAGCATTTCTTTGGAAGACAGTCCTAAAACCATTTTCATTTAAGTGTTCTACTTGTTTTCATGAATGTTTTGTAAGTTAAAATGTTCTTAAAAATAAATAACAATGGACTAAACTTAAATTAACTAAAAACAAGTTAATAAAAAAAAACAAAATCAAAGTAAAACCCTTTTTAAACAATTACTAAAGCTAGGGTCCCAAATTTTTAGGACTAGGGATCGGAAGAAAAAACCATTTAGGACCATCCATGTCACTATTTAGGGTCCTAAAATTTGGGTTTGGGACACTATGCCTTGAGATGGTCTTAGATGACTATCTGTATGCTTTAGTAATAGGAGAAAATAGTTATTCTAATCAAATTTTGAAAGTTGAAAAGACATGGTTATATCACGATCGAATTTGTTGAATGCCGATGCATCTAATACCAAAATATCGATGACATATAATATAGTAATGTATATTGGAATGATTCTAATTTCAACTTTTCGTGTGTTTACTAATATATGAGTATTAGAATAATTTTGATTTTCAGATTTCTTCTGTTAGACGATAAATTCCGTAATTAAATACCCTCAAAATCAGAATTGGAATTAACTAGAGAGAGTTATTTATCTGATTCCCCTTTTCTATTCTTGATAAGTAAGTAATCCCGAAAGTGAAAAGGAGATGGATAAAACCTTTTCTGTTCACCACTCTTTATCTAGTAACGATTTCACCTAAATTAACTAGAGAGAGTTATTTATCTGATTCCCCTTTTCTATTCTTGATAAGTAAATATGTCATGAAATTCATATTTTCGGGCACCAGTAAGTAAGTAATCCCGAAAGTGAAAAGGAGATGGATAAAACCTTTTCTGTTCACCACTCTTTATCTAGTAACGATTTCACCTCCGACGGGTATTAATTAGTAAATACTAGACTAACCCGCATGGCCAGTCTCGAAACTTCAGGTGAATCTTCGTGCGCCGCTGCCCCCGACCACGTTCTCAGGTAAACTCGTCGACTCGTTCTCAGTTTTCAGTTCTGTAGTCTCGAAACTTCAGGTGAATCTTCGTGCGCCGCTGCCCCCGACCACGTTCTCAGGTAAACTCGTCGACTCGTTCTCAGTTTTCAGTTCTGTTTGGGTTTTATTTCATGACTTTTGTTCGGGAATTTCATGTGATGACTATATTCTGTGCTTCTGTGGATTTTCTGGGTTATATTTGTAATATGATTGAATTCCAATTGCATTGCTCTGTTTGTGTATCCACTGAATCTGTTTTCTGAACCGCATAGGCTTCAAATTGTATGTTCATTGAATCTGTTTATATATTTTCTAAGTGGCGCAATCTGTTTGTATATCCATGGAATGCTGAGTTAGAGTCTCTCTATCAGTGTAAGAAACAAACACAATGCTGAAGTTCCTGTCAAGGGTGAGGATTGAATTCAATGCCTTGGACCCACGTACGGCCTCGTGTCTGGAGTTCTTGGCACAGTGCAATGCCCGCAAGGCCAAGGAGTCCAACCCCTCCTGCGCTGTCCAAGTCAAGCGCCGAACCGATGATGAGCCGCCCAAGATCACCGTCACCTTCGTCAATGGAGTTGAGGAGGTGTTCGACGCCACCGCCACTCCCGCCCAGGACATCAGGAACATGATTCTTGAAAAGGGTCAGAGCCTCGAGACTGAGCAGATGTTCCGAGACGCTGGTGAGCCTTGGCCTGTTGTTATCCCCGCCGAGGAGCTCCACCAACCGGCCCCTGGTACCAAGGTGCGTAAAGGTTTTACATTTCTCTGATCGTTTTTTGCTTTTGCTGGTTTCTTTTGGGTGAACTGTCAGTGTGGCACTCCGTCGAACATCTAAACATGCAATGAATGAAAAGGTGGTTGGTTCAGTACATACTAGCACTGTTTCTTGTTGACTTGATAGTAACTACATGCTTTGAATCATTGGACTGTTGAAACTTTTTATTATTGGTGTAATTACCATTGTTGCTATTGCTGTGCTTGCTATGTGCACAATTATCCCTTTGCTATCATTTTTTATTCCTCCCAAATCCCAATTCACTCTTTTTTCTTTCTCCTTTTTGAGGTAAAGTTTATTATACAGATAAAACTGTCACAATTTTCATATTTTGCAATTGGTTTTATAAGCGTCTTATGCACCAAATACCATTACGATTACTGAATATTTTAGCCTGCAAATATTTTTAAGATGAAGCAAGAAGTTGGGAAATGGGGATATTGGGATTTGTTAACTAAAAAGAATCATATCGAATTTTAGTAGTTGCCTCACCTGTTCATATCAAAAGCCATATCGAATCATATCAGAATCCTCTTGCTTGTTATGTTTCTTGTGTTTTGTATGTGTCTGTGTGCTTCTGTGGCTATTGAAAGACGATTCTGTAGCCTTTTGCATTGCTTTTAGATAGGGGGATTGATTGAATACCACTATCTTATTACTAAATGCTCTTTCTGCTTAAGCCCTAGAAGGATTTTTTTGTTATCTATTGTTTCTCTCACGGTGCCATGCGTTGTTCTTTCAGCCGAGGAAAGCAGAAGAGAAAAAGCAGTAACCTGTTCTCATTTGATCAAACAGATTACTGGGGAGCGCTTGTATAGTCAAGTCTGCTAGATTTCAGTTCGGCGTTTCATTGGGAAAAGAGAATGCTGTATTGGAGTTGCAAAATTTAGACAATTCCGTCTTGTTGCAGGTTTGCTTCATTGTAGAAGCATTTGATATATTTAGTTGATGTTGAATCCTCGGAGTAGGAATTGTGGATGCTAGGAGCCATGTTTTCTTCTTCGTTTTTTTGACACTTTTGTTGGAGCTTACAGCCATTATAACATTGTTCTCGCCTGCATGTGAGAGAGCAAGTAAAATTGGGGCAAGTAATTTGAATAGATGGACGGCTAAGTGTCTCTATATTATTTTTGTAATCATACTCGATAATTGATAAAGCTAGTCTCAAGTCCTCATTTTTCTCCTTTATTTGTTTCAATTTTTATCAAATATATGTTTAGTCACAACAAACGTAGTTGTTAGTTTAACATGAGATTTTTATTTTTAATCTTGAAATTCATTTGGAATGGAAGTTTTTTAACATGAGGAATTTGAATTTTAGTTTTTAGTGTAAGTTGCTTCATTGAACTTCAAAGATATAGTAAATTTCAAAATTTCCCGTTATATTTTGACCCTTTTTTGGAACTTTGGGTACTAAACTTAAAAAACCGTAGCATGACATCCCAGCCCCCAATTTTGACCCTTTTTGGATTAGTAGTGACTCCCCCATTCTTGAAAACACAGAAACAACATTTTGACGTTTTCAAACTCAAGGCACAATTATGAATCAATTTTATGAAATTGGATAGTGAATCCCCCATTCTTGAAAACACAGAAACAACATTTTGACGTTTTCAAACTCAAGGCACAATTATGAATCAATTTTATGAAATTGATTTTCTGTGTTTTTCAAAATAACTCACCGAAAGAATATTTTCATTGTTTCTGATTTTAGAAAACGGGGAAATGACGACTGAAAATGGTACCTAACGGCCCCATAATTTTTCATATTCCGTTTTTGTTTCTCAATTTTATCGCAACAGTAAAGCGAACGGTAAATTTACAAAGACAAAAAATGAGAGGGTACTAAATAAATAAAGGGATCTAAATAGCAACACAAGTAATGGTGCTAAAGCATAATCATAGAGCACAACTGATCAAACTTGTGACTTGTCAATCAAAGTAGGCCAACAGATGCTTGTCTATTGTACAAAAAAGGAACAAAACACACAGTTGGATTGGGAGAGAGTATAATTTCTGTCCATTTAGACAGCTTAGCTTGGCCACAGCACGAAACAAAAAAGCTTGATGGCCTCGGCCAGCCCTCCGTCTAAGACCACTTTGCAAATCCCAACCCAACTACTATTATTATTATTGATCAAACATGAGATGTGAACACAACAACTTCAACAAACTCTGGCATTTCAAGGGGGGTGAGATAAACGAACATGTGTATACAGTGTCAATCTTTCGGGCCATTAGGCCTGAACACTAATTATACAATAAATGAAAAGGGGCAAAAATTGGAGGAATTACAACCATACTCTCAACTAGGGGTACCCGTACCCTGACCTTTGTCTCGATATGCAGCCTCTAAGCATTCCTTGGCCCTGTGAACTTTTGACTGAAGGTAAAAGGTCCCGTTCTTGGCATTATTTTCGAATAAAGTGTCGTATCTCTGCACAGGTTTAAGAAAGAATTTTTAGAACCCGTTCAAAATGCATATATGAGACGGTAAACAAGATATAAATGTGGAAAGTATTTACCTTCATAACTTCCTCCCAAGTGGTTGTCTCTGAGACATTAAGAATCTGCCTAGCTTCTTGCTCTGTCATGACCTTGCTGCTTCTACGAACAGCATTCTGTAATGTTTCTTGAGCCACACCCGATTTTGAGGCATCTACAAGATACCACAGATAATTAAATAAGGGCCAGTACATCTAAAGTTGGTATGAAATTTAGCAGGGGCAAGGAAAAGAAAAACAAATTAGATCTAAGCTCTGCCAAATAAATAGTCTCCTGAGATTATGTTCGAGTACTTAAATATGTGCATACATCTATACTAGGTCACGACAGCAAAGGGCAGAAGGGGACCAATAGTACCTAAATGCACCGTTTGAATATATATATATATATTTTTTTTTTCCAACATTGACCTGTAATCTGTACAGGAACAATTTCCTTGGCTATGTGGTTATTTGAGCTGCACCTTATTTCTCCTTAAGGATGGAGGTCAAATCTTAAACAATGAATTTTCTGAAGTTCCAGCAAATCCTTGCAAAACAGTTTGGCCTCTATTTCTCCCCAACATCACAGGCAACTTTGTGACCAACAGATAGTGAACTTATTAAAGCATATCTGAATCAGAGTTTGTAATCAGAAATACAAAATCTCCATTTGAATCCATTATTATAGGCCACCACATATTTTTTCTCACAGCATTAACAACCCATTTCACCTTCCTCCTCTATCATCATGTCATGCTCAACTAAAACAAAGAATCGGAAAGAGATCATAATAATATAAACAAATGCAAAAAATAGCTTTCGCATTGTCAAAACTAGATAAAATAGGCCAGCCCAATTCAAGAAAGTTTAGACCATTTGGCAATTTTAATTTCCTGATAGAACAGAAACCTCTTGATTTACCTGTGGGATAGGACTACCAGACGAATATATACTAAATTTTTTCAAAATTCAATAGATAACTGAAACTAGTACTATTTTAATTTGTTCTATTTTGGGACCATTCTGTTAGATGAGCTAGAACCTTAAACAAACATAACTACATGAGCCACAACAGTCAACAGTAACTTACCGAATCAGTATAAAAGCATGATTACCAAATCAGCTACATAATGTTGCAAAAAAGAAAAAACTATGGGTTAATGACCGAAATGGTCCCCCAACTATTGCTCCAGTATCATTTTGGTCCACCAACTAAAATTTTCATTTGAACCGTCCTTAAACTCTTTATTTTGTATCAAATTGGTCATACCGTTAAAGTCTGTCAATTTTGCAGTTAAATTGAAGGGTAAAACTGTCCATATGAATTAAAATATTAATAAATAATTAAAAATTAAAGGAAACTACTATAAAACTTAGAAAATTTAAAAAATTGAATCTCACCAGCCACCTACTGTAGTCCACTCACCAGCCACAGCCCCCACTCCATAACAACTTACATCATCTGATACCAGATCCAAACCCATATGGCCAAACTACCCACACCTTTGAATTAACACACATCTCCCAAATATCCAATCCACATACCCATCAATCTCTCCGTCTCTCTCTTTGAGATTTGGGTTTGTTTTTCAATTTTTTGATTGATTTTGATTAGTTATCACAGTGGGGGTTTGGATGGGGAGATAAATCTTGGGTGGATTTGGGGTGATGGGGGTGGCTTCGATGGTGGTTGGAAGGATGTTGCGGTTGAACTAGGGGTGGGGGCTGCGGTGAAACTGATGTTGGGTGTGTAGAGGAAGTTGGGTGGCTGAAGAATGGTTGGGAATGATTTGGTTTGGTGGTGGGTTGGTTTTTGATGTGATTCTTTTGATTGATTACTTGGTTTGGTTTTCTGATTTTATTTCTTGGATGTTGATTTTCTTAGTTTGATTTGATCTATTGGGCGAAGAACCAGAAGAAGGCAGGGAGTTTGGTGGTTTTGGGGTGATGAGATGAGGGATTATATGGACAGTTTTACCCCTCAATTTAACAACAAAATTGACAGACTTTGACGGTAGGACCAATTTGATACAAAATAAAGAGTTTAAGGATGGTTCAAATGAAAATTTTAGTTAGTGGACCAAAATGATACTGGTGCAATAATTGGGGGATCATTTCGGTCATTAACCCTACAAAGTAAAAGAGATTATGATGCACAAGGAAATTAGAATCTAGGATGTCTAATTCACCTCATGCTATTTGAGTTAAGAGGATTCTCGTGCAAACGGTCATTAACCCAAAAAACTATGCTAGAATTACAAGCCACACATTGAGTTACCATGACCAAAGAAAACTTACTTTGAAGCGCCTGACGATATGCTTGAACTAGAGCCCTTGCCACTATACTAGAACCCATCACAATTAAGTTAGCAAGAATCTTTGCAGCCTGCACAAATGCATGAGCAAAGGACATAAAGAAGACAATCTAATGAACATGAAGTCAAGAGAAATTAATGTCATTTTAAAATCAATGCTTCCAGCATTGACTCTCTCTCTCTCTCTCTCTCTCTCTCTCACACACACACACACACACACACACACACATGTTCATGCAAGCATGCACGCACTAAACTTGATGAACACAATGAAATGAAATCAATTTGTGATAGTGAACTCTCTGACCTTGTTCCATCTATTCCTATCATCATGTCACTAAACACTCAACAAAAATGCTTCTCGGAGGAAAAAGGAAGTTCAAAATCAACCAGTGACATTTTCACCTTAACCATGCTCATCTATGAAACTATTTATTCTAGACAGTGCATCAAGTAAACAACAAAAATGGTCAATGCTACCAAAAAATAATAATTTTGTTTCTTTAATGAGCATCACAGATTTTACTAATCTTCTGTATATCTATAAAACATGCCATAGCGAACAAGCTTTCCACTGGAAAGCAAACCAGGTGTGTAACCAAAACAGCACACAGTGACCAAATAAACCTGAGGTGCAATCCCAAAATGCCAAGCCAAAATAAAAGAGAGTCTAAGAGGCAGGTG